TACTCTTTGCAACGAAAAAAACTTGAAATTAATCCTCTTGAACCTGATTGGTCTACTCTTCCAGAAAAAAATGGCGAAATTTTGAGTTATGTTTTGCCCAAAACTCTGGATGAAATCAAGGACGAATGTTATTTTATTAATTCAAACTTCACTGTTCAAAACATTTCTTTTAAGCTTGCTCCACAACCATTCTCTGTCGGTGCTGAACGATATGCTTATTTTGCTCTTGATACTAAACTTGAACAATCTGATAAATTAGTAATAAAAAAATATCATGATATTAAATCAGGCACTATAGAACAATACTTGGAATCAGTGGAGATCTCTAGTGTTGCTTATTTACTTTCAGCAAAATTTAATCTAGCGGCGCAACGTGTTGGTGTTAAAAAGAAAGTTACATTTGTTGATGTGAAAGTCTTGTGTGATAATTCGGACAATAATACTTATTACTCCGTAGAAAAGTATATCAATAATGCAGAGTTTAAACGTTTTAATGTGAATAGTGGTATAATTACTGAATTTCATTCAATTCTCGAGGCATTTGCTCATTTCACATATAAATTTACAGGTGGATATTTGGTGGTTTACGATTTACAAGGTGTTGATTTAGATGATGAGTTTTTGTTAACAGATCCGGCAATACATTGTATTGATTTATTAAGATTTGGTGTAACGAATCTTGGAAAGAAAGGAATTGAGAAATGTTTTTTGGCAAACCATAAATGCTCTGATATATGTAAAAAGTTGAAATTAAATTAAAATCCGAAAATAGTTTTTTTTTCGAAAATTCATAAATGCAAAGTTTATGAGAAATAACTTGCGAAATATATCTAGTTATTATTCTAAATCAGAATTACTTTGTAGTTTAATAGGATATGTGATGATTCTTGTTACTGCAATAGATGTAAAGATGGCAGAACAAGTAGCTTTGCAAAATTTGTTGAGTAATTCCTCAGGATCACCATCTGTAGACCCAAGATCAAATACAGGAAATTCACCGATTATTTCACGAAATATGTTAAGCATAATGTCAGTAGAATCATTAATTTTTCCAAAATGGTATAAAATATTCTTTGATTGCATTTCTTTTAGCACACTTTCAGCGGTTAGACCATTTGGATCACCTTTCGGATATCTATCAAATTTGTCATATACTTTTGTTTCGTCAGTAAAATGTCGACCATGTGGTGGTGCATCACCAATATGAATAAGAATGCGAGTAGAATTACTCCAAGTCATATTCGTTATTGCAGCATTAAGACCTCCTAGGACATCTTCAGGGAAATCACCCCCACCCATAGCCATCACTTTATGGGTTATATATGATTCAAATTTTTTGTATGAACTAGTAAAATTAAAAATCTGTAAACGATTACGACCATCACAATGATCACGATAGCCACAAAAACCGACCCAGAATTTGATATTTGAATTATTACGGTTTACATATTTAGCCACTTTTAATATATGCTCTTTAGCAGCTATAATATAGTCATACATAGAGCAAGTGCAATCCAGAACGAAGCAAAGGTCAACATTCATTGAATCTTCAATATTATTAATTGCCTTTGAAATTTCATTTGCTCTGCTTCTTCGTATATATGAGATCCTGTTTGTTAATGATGCCGTGTTATTAACTTGACCAGCTTCATCTTCAAAGCGTTTGAGACGTTCCTCTAAGAGGTTCGAGTTAGAACCAGTAGTGTTAACGGATAATAAAGTTGAATTTAGAAAATCATAATCATCATATTCGTCAGTGTTAGGTTTGTCTTTTAATCGTTTATTCTTTTTTTTAAACCACAGAGTTGGCATAATTCTCGTATCAGATGAGAAGAGTTTAGCTCTATGAAATGCTTAATATGTACATACTTTACAATTGTTATCGACAACAACCAATTGCATGTGCAACATACTAAAGTTTTAAAATTAGATTTTAAAATTAAACGTTACACGATACACAGCCATTTACTTATTGAAATCGCCTAATTGGCTGATTTAAATAAGTAATTTATACTTTTTTAAAAAAGCATGCAACGTTTCACAAAAAGAAATTTAATAGCTGAACTAAATTTATCTGATCGACCGGCTTAGCGTTAGCCGATCATAGCATATATATAGAAACATATTGACATACGTACGGTGCTGGGAAATCTAAAAAGCCTCAATCACTTTACGTATAGGGAATAAACATATTGGGCTTGGGTTTGTTTCAGTGATACGTACGTATGTTTAGAATTGTTGTGTACATATTATTTCTTGGCATTTTCCGAGCAAGATTTCGATTTACTTATTAATATTAATAATTTAAAATTTTATTTCAATGTAACCTAGTTGATGCATTATTCCTATATAAAGAAATTGAGGATTTTAAATTTTTTGCATTTTACGTAAAGACGCACATATATACTGTGTTCAGATTTTTAGGTGCAGAAATATACTGATTTTAATATCGACTGATGAATTAGGTTATTACATGCAACCCCTACAGGAAATTATTGTCCTAAAAATATAATACAATGCATACTTTATTAGATTATAATTTACAATTACTTAATACGTACGTACGTACGTACGTACATTATTTTGGTTCTGCGTTATACTTTTTTGTTAAATTTGCAATAACTAATATGCAGTATATCACATCACAATTTCAGAGAAATATTTCAATTATTTCTATCTGTTGAATTGATAAATTTTAATATGAATTTAGGAAAATTGCTATTGTTGATGCAAGTACCGATGGATCTGTTAACATAAGAATCATAAAAAATGGAGCTCACTAGAAGTAATTAAAGATTAATACGTGTATTATCATTTATTATTCGAAGCGTAGTGAGAACTCCACTGTTTAGGCAATGTTAATCGGAAAAAACCGTGAATTTGATTGTTCCGTAATCTGCAGTTAGTGAGCTCCTCACGAATATAATTGACTAATTCATCATAGTGATCTGAATCGTTTATTTGAAAATCAACTAGTTGACAACTTTCCAACTAATCGAATTAGAAAATTTTAAATAACTAATCGATTTAATTATCAACTAGTTCA